AATAATGTGTCCAACAGCAAGTTTTACCTTTCTTGAAAGAGGGGAGGGAGACTAATTCAAGTTAATCTTTTCATTTCTTATATCTTCCTTCCTCACTGTTATCTATTTACAGTACAAGGCTAAGCACTCACTGAAAAGCACAGCCAGAAAACATTTTTTATTACTCCAGGAGCATTATGAAAAAAAGGCATCTTGGCTGTATTTTTTGGGACCTCCACAATGGATTCCTAGCAACCAGCCTTTATTTTTTATATTGGAAAAGTGTTAAAGCAGTTTGTATGTGCGCAATTTGATTTTTTTGGAGAACTACTTCCAGCTACATAATTTAATTATATTACAATATATTTATTATTACTATTGCCGATAGTGTTAAAGGTGAAGCGGGTTATGAATTGTGTCTTTTAAAATGTAAAATGTCTTTAAAATGTGTTTATAGAAGAAGTCCAAACATTTAACCTCACTCATAAAACATCTTGTATTTTTTCATTGCTTCAGTATGTCCAACCTAACCTTAATCACAACATTTTTTTTCTTTTACTGTTTCCATATGTTTTGAGTGAATGCATGTAATATTTGATTCTGTGTAGAAAAAAGCACTTCTTATAGTACAACAGAAATAATATAACTCTTCCTTTTTGTAGGCACGAATTACTTATTAAACAGATAATTAACCAGCATTTAGAAGGTGTTATTTTTTATTTTCTAGAAACAGTAATAGATTGTGATCTTTGCTACTTTATGTTTTTTAACAAACTAAAAAAATACATCAATTTATATGAAACATTCCCTTTGTGGTGTGCACTAAAGAAATAAAAATAAACTGTGTATCCTTTACACCTGTTCTAAGTGTTTCTAGAGTCCAGAGTTTCAAAATATATCAGTATTCACACAGTGAACCTAAAAATCAGTGTAATATTAAATATGAAGCTCAAAATCCCCAAGTCATGAGAAGTCAGAGGGCTCCTTTCATGTTATGCACTAGTATAGGGAAAGTATCTGGTGGGGTTGAGATGTAGGAGATTTGAATCACTTTCATTTCACACAAATAAATACTAAATGTAAAATCTAATTCATGTTTAACTTTTAGACAACATTATTTTTTTATCTGTATGCTAAATTATTTTTCTGTAATCATGATTTTTTTTTCACTTTTTTTGTTTACTGAGAGACAATTGCTAATGTTTTTAACAAGCATTTCTTTAGAACCCCTTCCCCCCTTGTAATCCATACTTGTTCAGGTAAGACAACTGCGCATTACAAAAGCTTGCCTTCACAAGCGCACTTTCTGCATGGTACATTTTAACTAATTTCTCTTGTCTGTACGATAGGGCTACTAGAAAACCATTTAACCAATGCAGAACCAGAATGTTGTGATGTCAGATGGAGCTCCTGTGATCCATCGGTGGATGGTGTCTGCAATGCGTCTACCAAATTCATGGACTCCACCACATCTCACCATCGGTCTTCTCTACCTGTGTCGGCAGCCTCTCGGTTGTGCAACAGCAGACTCAAACTGTGTGTGCTGGTCCTCATCCTGCTGCACACCGTCGTCACTTTTTCTACTATACAGAACAATGGCGGACTCAGCCTGGAGGCCCTAACGGCCATGGAGGACAGCTCGACAAGAGAAGAGTGAGGTCCCCCCACCCCCGACCCCCAACGCCAGCAAAATAGGAATTGCTGTAAAAATGAGGAAATGTTCTTTTGAAAATGAGGTACACAGTGGTCCTATACAGAAAAGGAGTTCAGATAACAGGGTCAGAAAGGCGCAGTTTCTGGTGTGCACCCTGACCATTTTTCTTCTTGAAAAAAGGTAAATGGGGAAACAGATCCCTGGGAAGGGTTTGATACAAGTAGCCTTTTTCATCACTCCACTCTGTACAGTGGTTACATACCAGAGCAGAAGTAGAGAGAGCCCTTTTTAATAAAAAAAATAAAATAAAAAATTCAGAGATGAAGCCCAAACGTGCTGATGTTTTTCAGTGGCCACTTGTTGCTACTGAATTATTTTGAGTAGAACATTCATAAAGTACTTCACCTAATCTGCCACATACCTGATAAAAAGGCCAGCAAAATGCTCATTTAGCGTGAACAAAGAGTGATTAATAGTGGGTGTTTGTTAACCAAAACTTTAGGAATTATTGAAAGACTGAATCTGGGAAACAGGTGCTTGAGCATATTGTCTTTGGTATCAAAATACCAAAATGCAAAAAAATAAGGAAACAAAATGTTAAAGAACACAATTTGCTGTATCAAACCAGACACGTTTTGTAGTTAGACACTAAGTAGACCATTATATGTGTGTATCATGGCAAATGTGGTTCAGTAGCACAAGATAATGAATTTAACCTAACAGCTGGGAATAGAACACCTTTAGTAATGCGTTGTTATACAGAATATGATTTTTACTTTCAGTTTTTAAATTAGTTATAGAGGCCATGGTGTTGTTTTCATCTTATTTAATGTGTTCTGCACTTCTTTTAAGGAAAATCCCCAGTCAAATGTGTGTTTGCCCAACTTTTGCAAGTACTAAATGGTTTATACACACCTTTAATAACAGGGACTTAATTTAATCATTTAAATTGAAAATACAGGTACTGTAGGTGGTAGCTATGGTATGGTATGCTTTATAAAAACATACAGTATAACCAGTGCAAGCTGAAGGTGTTTAACAGATAATTATTGACTCAAACCAACAGCTACGTTTAAGCAAAGGGACCTGATTTACATTTCTTTAGAACATCTTTCAACATGGCAAGAAATTATCTGTGATATTCATGTAAAATAATCCACATTGCAAAAGAAAGTTTGAATAGACCTGTAGTATACAAGTTCCAAGTTTCTTCTTACATGAGAGTATGTGCAGTTTTTTTTTTGTCAAGTAATAAATTACCCCCAGAGTCTTACTGTAAGTCTATATGCTGAATTTACCTTGAGAAACTGAATTGGACTGGTGCCTTGGTATCCAGCTGGCAGAGATCATTTCACAGTTTGGATACCCTTGAAAAGGTTAAAATATGGACAAAAAAGATTCATCTTGATTTCTCTTTTCTATATCAAGGCCATCTGTTTTTAAGGTGTGGTACTGCTATTGTTGAAGACTTTGCAAGCTAAAATATGTTAAAATAAATCATTTGCACATGTTTAAGCTTGTTCAGGATTAAATTTTTCTTTACTGTTTTTCTGTCCTTGGTGTGATTGATGAATTTTCTTTTTTAAAAACATCTTTCTTCTTGGTTTAGTTCAGTTAAAAACCATAAGAAATAATGTTCCCTTGGATTCAAAAGACAGACATATGCATTGATTGATAGTAAAACATAAACCCAAAACATTATGTCTTCCAAAAGTACCAATTAATACACAGTGAACCAATTGGATGCAAAGGGTATCAAAGAAGAACTGTCTATATAAACGTTAAAGATAAAAACAGTTATGTTTGTGTCCATAGCTAAGCTACTGTGATGTTTTACATAAGCTTCTTATTTTTCAGCTTAAATGCTTATATTTTATTATTTATGACAAAGATTAAAAACATGAAATAACTAGTGTTATGGTATGAATAATCTCCATTACAAAAAAATATAAAAGTTATACTTTAATGTTAAATTATTTAAATTCAGTAACCATTACAGAGAGAATGGATCAAAATGTCTTCGTGAGAATCATAAATTGTTTTGAGCATTTTGAAGTTTACGCCCAGATACCATATGCATCAAAGCATCTAAACCGCAACAGTTGAAGCAAAATTGATTTAATTATGTGTTAGTTTCTGTATGTAGTTGTATTCTGTAGTTCTGTATTAGAACATAATATCATTTATAATTTCAATCACCTTGAACACTTACAAATTCTGTGGTATGTTTGAAAACCATTTTGAAACAGGCATCTTTTATTGTTTTGTGAACTGATAAATTGCAAGAATTGATTATTGCTTTTATGAATGCAGCACACTTAAGGAAAATTCCTATATCGAAATGTTATTCTAAATTACTATCATTTCTGACTGGCTACAAAACTAGATTACCATTATTCTACCTTATTTGAATAATTCTCTGGTTTAATCTTACTTTTGAGTATTGTAAAGAAATAAAATGTATTCCATATATGGTAAACATATGGAGCCATACATAACTATCATTACTTTCCTCAGAAGTCTTTTAATTTAAAGAACTTTTAATGATAGAAAGTATTACACTATGAAAGATTTTTGGGGTATTTTTTTAACGTTTCCATGAGCTTTTCTGTCACTAAAGTATAATTAACATTTGCAGGTTAGAATTCAAATTCTACATGTTCAAAAAAGTTTGTATTTGCTCATAATAATAGAATGTGAGCTCATCATGAATTGTATTGCAATAACTGTTAGCCTGCATCTGGCAACACAAGGAAATGCACTCATACTAGTAAACAGTAAAAGTGGTTTTATTTTTCAGCAACAAACTACAGATTGATGTTGGTACCAACCTGTTCTGACTTAAAGAAGGTCATTAAAGTCCACATTACAAATACGACTATAGGAAACACTTGTTTTGTGATGTGTAATCATCATGATGATATAAAAATGAAATATGAAAAGAATTCCCATCCTTTATATTTTAAAAGAACAATGATTTTAAGAATAGGAAGATAAGGGATATTTTTTAAGATGAGAGAATTTTTAAAACAAAACTCATGCACATGCACACTGGCATATACTGTACAGTACGTAACTACACAAGTGCATAAAGGTCAGAGGTATTTTATATATCTTACAAAGGCTGCTTGTATTCACATCCTTCTCATTCATCATGAGCGGGTGCTTCCCGTCGTTTGGTGTGATGGAGCCATCTTTATAAGAAAACCCAAGGGGCAAATCGACTTTTAGGGGTAAAAAGATACAAATCTGGATATCTCTGCTAAGCCTGTATTCTTTAAGGGGAATACTTCTTATGCCATTTTATACACTGTGCTTTAATGTTTAGAACTTTTTTGCACTAGTTCTAATAACATTTATTTTCGGAGATGGTTTGAAAACTGTGCTATATAATTCAGTTGTATAACAAATATTATATCATATCTGTGTTTCTAGTCTTTACCTGTATCTGTAATGTTTTCTGTTTCTGTTGTATTTTGGGCAGAACAGTCCCTGCTCAATGTTTAACCCCAATAAAGAAATACAAACGTTCATTATACATTGACAGACTCCTGTTTTCTGATGGGAAAAAGAAACGTACGGAATAACTAATCTATGTTTTACTGTTTATACTTTGAAGTATTTTACCTAAGTCTGATGTTTATATCATGATTAAATCCAAATGCTTTAAAAGTCTTTTTATTTAGAAATAAAATTAGAATGAGAATGAACATATGCTCTGCTTGTGTTCTCTGTTTGCAAATAGCACATGTTCACACATTTGATTCTTCTTCTACTGATTCATTGTTTACTGGTACACAAGTTTGCCATGAGCCACATTATAAAAGTTTGTTGTAGCTGCTTTATAGAGTGCAAGAATCCTTCTGTCTTGCTGGGGCACAAGGTTTGGATTTTATGTTCTTTAAATCCAAAACACTGTAGCTCTTATCAAGGTTGAACTGTACAGTCCAGTATCATTAAAGAAAATCAATTTTCAGATAATACAAGTATAAGAAACGACCCCATGCATTATACTGTACATGCCAAGGAGGTGACACATTTACCTCATTCGATTTTGTTTTTTAATAAACTGGTCTTCTTTGTTTGTCATCTTAGGTGTTGACTTGGTTCAACCTTGCTGTTCACCTACATGAAACCATGGCAATGCCCTCCCCTGCCTATTTTCAGACTTGCCACTTGATAGCCGTCTTTTGTTCATCAGAGGCTTCTTCTGTCTACATTGTGAAAAGCTGCCATCACGCACTGGGTTTGGAATTTGTGTTTGGCGGGTGGGTCCCAACTTTGTATTTAATCAGAGCCAATTTATTTTGAAGTTTTGTCTTCACTGTTCCCTTTTTTATTTAAGTCAACACTCTTAACAGTAAAAAAAAAAAATGAAATGTGGAAACATCTGCTCCCTAACTAATTTATTCATTTCACCTTTCAAATGTGAGGGTGAGCTCTTTTGTTGTAAAAAAAAGGAGGGGGGACTACTAATGAAACTTTGAAGTGAAGCACTACTTAGGTTTAAGTCAAATTAAAAAAGGATTATTAGAACAGCTGCTAATAATTTTCCATTACTTTGATTTTTTTTCAAATAAATGAAATACTTACATGCTGGATAAATTACTAAAAAATAACTGAGGTGGAGGCTGTACAAACAGGAATGGCACGTTATTGCATGGTGAGGTTTTACTCTTCCTAGCAGTGACAACTATTCCTATCCATACAACAGCCGTGTCAATTCAGAGGCTTAACTACACACATAGTGGGCTTAGGTAAGTGTCCAATAAGTTTTTAATAAGGTTGAGGGATCTGTCATGTAGCAGTGATTTCAGGTGTTATTCTCTTACGTCGGCTTGTCTAAATCTGTTTCCCTCTGTCTCAGCCATTCTAACATTCTTTAGCTTCAGCTCCATTAATTACAGTTCTAATCTAGCTGTGGGATAGCATTTAATGGCATTTTTCTAGTCCCCCTGCAGCCTTGATAATGATGAGAGCCACTTGTAATGAAAATTTTATTTCTCAAACCTTAAACAATATATCAGGCTGCCTTCAAAAACATTTCAGCTCCAACCTGCCAATAAATGAAAACAGCTCTCCATATACTGTAGTACTATAGAAAGCAAATCTACAAAGGTGGGTACCTTATAGATGTGTGCTCTGATCCCTTGTGACATAGTGGTTTTGAATAAGGCCTCTGCTGGCAGATTTGTGCCTTATCTGGAGAATATACCAACATAGGCAGAAACAAGTTAACAAAAAAGTACCACACTTTTTACACAACTGTCTAAATGAGGTCTTACTAAGGCACCATATATTTTTACAATAATGTCCCTTAATTTAAATTCTACTGAGTTCATTAGATAACATCTTTGGCATTTGTGTTGCTACCCCAGATTGTTTCAAACAAAAACATATTGTATTATAAATGTTTCAACTTTGGAGGTTAGACTCCCTGCACTGGTTTCCATTTTTTGCATTTTGGGACATGAACATTAACAGAAAGTCTTTTACTGGGCACATATACCCGTCTATCAGTCACCAGTTCCAAGCTCCACTTCATGGGACTGTCATTAATATACTTTTTTTTAAAGAGATAATACACCCCCTAGTGGATAAGAAAGTTCTATTCTTCCAGTTAGACCAATCCAGAAGACATCAGATTCTAAGTTGCTTAAATGGCCTTTCATTCTGTTTAAAGCAATAGATATTATGTCTTGAGATTTCTGTTATGAAATATTATTATTTATGTTATATATATATAAGGAATATTTACTTTCTCCTCAGGTAAGCTGTATTCTTCTTCTTTGTCTTATTTTTAATAGCTTGTAAAATTTAAATATATATTGAAGACTTTTCACTAAGTCAAAAATGATATGCTTTCAGCTGCTTGCCATTAAAATACATGTAAACAATCTGGATCATTATCTAAACCATTAAATGCCTGGAGGTAAGATAAAACTTTTAATGTTAATATGTGGCATGTTTTACTTATGTGCTTCCAAAAAGACAGAAATCTGGAGTAATTAAAATTGTATCTAATTGCATACAATAATAAACTTTATGGAAATATGAACTGGAGTATGCAGGAGTATGCTTTTAAATAATTATTTCCAGCAGAGGGCTCCTTAGTGAAATCTTAAGAAGGAACATATATTTTGCATAGATTAAACTATTCTGACAGTAGCAATAGTTATAATCCTTACTGACTGGAAATTAATCTAGAGAATGAAATCAACTGTTTTTTATTTTGTTTTCACGTCATCTAAGGAGCTCTGCTTAATATACTTTTAGCAATTTATAGTCATACAGTTGAAATATGAAAAAGACATGTTTTTTTCCCACCCTAGGAGATCAAGTTGAAATATATGCTACAGTGATAGAAATGAGGGGAGGCCAATTTCTCATTGTACTCATTTTTTTGCTTGTATCTTAATAATCCAAACACCTCATCCAACTGTTTTTTAAGACTCCAAGAGGAACCTCCAAGCTTCAGGAAATTTGATTCAACAAAATGGCTTGACACTACAGTTTATTCCAAATGCCCACTACTCATTGCATCAACAAGTGCCTTCTGTTTATTTCCTATATTCATGTCCTTGCAACATCTATTTGCACCTTAGATTCTTGTTTTGCTGTTTAGTACAACATAACCCTTTCAGTTGACTGTGTCTATAACTCTCAGGATTCTGAATACTTTTAATGTATGACATTAATTCAAGACCTGAAATTATTCTAGTTGCTCTTTTATGAGTGCTTTCTAGTGTGGCAATAACCTTTTTTTAGTCCGTCAACTTATTATTTTGATGGAAATTTCAATTATTTTGGAATATACCGTAGCTTTTTTTTAATTGCTTCTTCACATTGTCTGAAAGAACAATGTGCTTAGCAACCTAACCAAGTGGATGATGATAAATGGTTGACTAGACTCTTAAACCCATGATGCCGATGCTCCCAAGTGGACCATTGACCTCTGTAAGCATCACTTGCCTAAAGTGCTGCACTAATGGAGACAATAGCAGAGTGACTGACCAAAAGGCTTGAGAACATGAAATGTGGGTGAGTTGTTTCAGGGGAGGCCTGGAGAGGATTTTTGGTCCCAAGAGAGAAAACAATTAGCTATGTTTAGAGAGAGACGTTGGTAAGAAGCCTAGTTAATAGCTCAGAGAGTATAGCTTTTGTTTTAAGTGTGTTTTCCTTGCATTGTGAAAAAAAAAACCTACTGTTTATACCTTTTGTGTTTCTTCTTGGACCAACCTGTTTTAAAGAGCCCATTACAGCAAACCACCCTTTGCTGTGTCACCATCAATATAAACCCTTTTTACTTTGACTGACAAGTTGAAATTAAAAATGTTATGTGCCATAAATGTATTATATATCTTTGACACTAGTGATTCTTTTTTCTTAAAAAGAGGTGTTCTTCCCTCCTATTTAATGTGAGGACTGAAGTGGATCTGAATGAGATAAGTTATGGTAATAGAGGTATATTCACAGGCAGTGTTCAGAGAGGCTCTTACCTCCCAAGACTGGTGAGAGTCTCAGGTCTCCAACAGTGATAACTACTACACAGCTAAGGCTCAAGCCTGTTTTATGTTAATGCTTTTCCCGAGCCAGCAGGGTTTATTCTCTACAGCTTGGTGATGCTTTTTGAAAGGCTTTGATTAGCTTGCAATTGTTGCACTATCTCTTGGGAGAACCATTCAAAAGCCTTTAATCTTAATATGAAAAGTACTGTAAAATGGCGTGTTACCCCAGTCCACCTAATACTGAGTGCCTTTTTAAATACCTTTGGCAGAAGTATCAAATACTTAATAAAAAAGCTAAGACAACAGTTCAGTCCTTAAAAGGGAATCAGCGGATGTAATTGCGTCATAACCATACAATACTATTTAAATAGCATACATTGCATGTGTACAACTAAAAAAACCTAGAATTAATGCTACTGTAGGTTGCCTAACCTTCTTGTGCTCCTTGCTATCCTGGACATCTATGTATCTTTCTTCCACAACTAACCAGAAACATATTTCCACAGCTGCGGAAATCTTCCAGAAGATTTTTTCGAAATGGCTATGAAAGATTTCCTATTTCAACATGTAGTGTAAGCCTGCCAATCTGTAGAATTTGGCTTGCACAAATGCTTGGAAAGAGCATCTGTATTTCAAATGTCATGTCGGTAATTCATTAAATGATGTGAAATATAGAGCATCCTTTCTATTAGTTGCATGGGCCTATTGGAAGCCAGAAGCTTTTTTTTTTTATCATTTGTGAATGTTCATCTTGCCCTCTGTCGTGTACATTGTATCATACATGTACAGTAAGCATGGTTCACTAGGTACAACAACATCCAAGAATTGAATGCTTTGTGAATGTTTGGAATATTTAGTGAGATTGGTTTGGTTTAACCAAGTTAATTAATGGGTAGCCTTCCAGGTACGGGACAAGGAGGCTAGAACCCCATTCAGAGAGGAGTGAACCAAGGGATAGGTGCAAGCTGAAGGTGGGGTAGAGGAGGGTTGCTTCAGACAAATGTGAAGGGAGATTTTGTGTTCGATGTGTAGAGCTAATTTCTGTAATGATGGTGATTAGGTACAGCTGTGCGACATTGACTTGTCATTTTTCTCCCTTTTGAACTTCCATTTAATGTAACCATGTGTGAATGACACCTGAAAAAGGCTTTATGGTCAGAATGTGTTTCTGCTTTTGGAAATGTATTACTTTCTACTTTTGT